TTAGGACCAACTTAATAAAAAATGTCCAAATGTTGGACAATTTTTCTCTTTATTTTCACTAGAAATTAAAGCAAACATACGAATATAAGAACGACTCATAATCAGACCTAATAGACATTCATTGTCTGTTATATTTAATAACATATGTTTAAATACATACATACATACATACTATATTCCATACTGTGCAGTTGTGACAATGAAATGAAAGTCTATTACAGCTAAAGGTAAGGTTGGAGGAACATAGAAAGTATATAGCTTAAGATTTTAGATCGATAGATTGATAGATCGATAGATTTGAACACAATTTTGACACATTTATTACAAAAGGACTTACATGGAAGGAAAATTCTTGAAAGTGCCGCTATCAACTCTTACCAAAATATATATCTGCGCACCGGATGTTTTCCAATATCTCTGTTGCTGAAAGAATTACTACTTTCCTTGGCCAATATACATGACTACAAAAATACAAAAAAAAAAAATAAATAAAAATAAAATAAAATAAATAAAATTAAAGAAAACGGTTAAATTCATAACCTCATGATATCTAAAACATGTAACACTTAAATCAATCCCAATACAAAATAGTTTATATATATATATATATATGATAAAATTTAGTTTTAAAATATGCTATATTTATGGGTTAAAGTACTAACTAATCATTGAAAATCATTCAAAATACTATTTTAAACAAAAACTAGAAATATCATTTGTTTGAGAGTGACGTTATAAAAACTTCTCCTGTACTTGGAGAACATATTTTCATCGTTTCTGCATCAATGATCCAATGATTTAGTTTAAGTTTCGGCAATTCATCTTAACTATTTTTTGGTACAAGAAATCACGGTTATTCTTTTTCATTTTCTTTCCTCGAGTATATATCTTCCTGGAGAAGATTCCTTTTCAAATTCTTCACAAGGGAAGTCCTAACACTTTGCTACACACTCTACTCAAATAATATTTTGGCATTCAAACCAATTTTGGTAGTATTTGCTGCATGGCTACTCTTTTTTAGAATATGAATTTATCGTTGTGAGGGGAGCCAATAAAAAGGAATCAATTCTCTTTTAAGACTTCAGCGTACATTGTTGCATTTTATCGTCCTTCATTTCTAATAATTTGGCCTTTCATTTTGCAGAAAAGTTTGCCGTCATAACGGAGTCACCATCAAATGGTCTCTTTGAGAATATCTATTCTTCTTTGCATAAATCATACCAGGAACCTTGTAGACCATCTGGATCATCTAAATTAAAATTCTTTTTATCAGGAAAATAACACACCAACCCATTTTATTGGTCCAAGGAATTTAATTCTTCAATTATTCAGTGGGATTTTTAAGAAATGGTGCCTTCATTCTTGCCAGATGAACGAGATTATTATAATTCATTTAATATTTGTCGCACCCGACTGTGAGTTAAGTTTAGCTGGAGTTGTTTTAGAGGTCGTTAGAGCATGATTGTCTTGTAGAGGCCTCTCAAAGCAAGCGCCTTTGTGCAGTCACTCACAGTTTTTTTTAGGTCTTTCATATCGTTTATTTGTGCCATACCTCTCGGCGAATTAAAATAAAAGTTGCTAACAACAGTGTTCTCCTCTGCCAGTGCTATGCTTTTGGCACTAATCTTCAGTAGTTTTAGTTTATTCTTCCGAGAAATTAACACCTCGTGGCGTTTTCAAGTAAAATTAATGTCTAGTAACAATGAACCATTTCCTAAGTATATCTATTGCTGGCACAAAAAAAAACTTTCCTCAAACTGTTAAGATTATTTAAAGGTCTGTTTTATATTTCTTTCTATACTGAATATCTTATCCGACTTTGTTAGAAAATATTAAAATTATTATAAAAGTGTAAAAAATTACAAAAAATACTGTTTTTCAGTAAATTTATTCTAAATTATATTTTAAATGTTATCAAACATTATTTACGTTATTTACATTGTTCGGACTGTTGTTCTCATCTTTGTTGCCATATTCACGAGGTTTCGACCGTTAAACGCTCCGGTCTTCTTCCTCAAGGACACATGGCCCAGTGGATAAAAGCTTTTGTTGAATCCAGTGACTTGACCCAAAGAGTTGTGGATCAATATCTGGCTACAACAGAGGTGAACAAAAGAGAAATAACTGATACTGAGATATCCGGAAGAGACATGACACGTGGAACTAGAACAATCTACCCTGGTGATCGAAATAAAGGGTTCGAATCGAAATTCCAATCACCTGAAAAAAGCCGGAGCTTTCCTTATTTGTCCATCAAGAACTATTAGCTTTCACATGTGACAAAAACAGTCCGCTTACAATTTTAACTTTTTTCTCTCAGATTTTTTTCATCATTGCTTCTTATTTTGGTTTGTTGTTTAGATGTGCATGCGTATGTTTGTGAGCTGTAAAACATAATAATATCATCGGAGTTACAGTTTTTTGTTTTTTTCTGCCCTGATTACTTTTTTCTTTTATTTCTTATTCTCCTTGTTGAGTCTTCTGTCGCTTTAATGTCTCT